GGAATGGAATGGAATGGAATGGAATGGAATGGAATGGAATAGAATAGAATAGAATAGGGATGAATGGAATGGAATAGAGTAGAACGCAGTGGTGGGATTCAGCCAGCCCACACCTATCCGGGAGAACCGGTAGTTAACTTTCTAAGCAGTTCGGGGAACTGGTTGTTGGAAGAAATCTCCTTTTGTTTTTTTCCACTTTGCAGGACTAATCCTGTAAGGAAGGCAGGAAGGAAACATTCTGGTGTTGTTTCTAGCCTAATCTTTATTGCCCTGCTTACAGAAACTGCCTCTCCGGTTAACCCTTATTACATTGTGACAGCAAAGCGCCCAGCGACATGAGTGATTAGTTGGCCACACCCACCCGGTCACATGACCACCAAGCCACACCTACCCAGATAGTCATTAGGGCAGAGAACCGGTTGTTAAATTATTTGAATCCCACCACTGCGTTCTACTCTATTCCATTCCATTCATCCCTATTCTATTCTATTCTATTCCATTCCATTCCATTCCATTCCATTCCATTCCATTCATCCTTGTTCTACTCTACTCCATTCCATTCTATTCCACATTTATTATTCGATTCGATTCTAAATTCCATTCTATTCTGTTCTGTTCCGTTCCATTCCATTTCATTCCATTCCAATTTTCTTATTCTATTCTATAAACGTTCTTGGGGTTTCCCAACCTTGGGGGTTTTAAGAAACATGGACCTCAACTCCCACATTTACAGAGAGCCCTTGTGCATTTTTAAAGTATGTACATTCTATAAAAGTGGACATGTATTGAGTTCAATCATATCTGTGCTCCCAGGGCTTCATCTCATTCTTCCAATTCTACCTTGCACAACTATCCTGTGAGGTAGGTTGAGCTAAGAGAGCATGATGGGGGTGAGCTTCTGTGTTTGAGCATTTGCGTGAAACTGCGTTTCCTTGTTCCTGAGCAAAACACCCAACTCCATCCTTGCTCCCCCAAGGACAACTTGTGCATCAGAGTCAAAAACGCTGCTCCCAGCAGCCCTTTGGCTCCCTGCCCTGACTTTCAATTAAAAATTTTAACAAATGAGAATCTAAAGCTGCTCTGTAGCAATCCCCTCCCACCTTGTTTGATTTCCTGAAAGGCTTCTGGGCCCAGCAGGGCCCTTAGAAAATACAAATTTAAATGTACCGACAAAGAAATAAAGGGACACTAGTATAGATCTATCTCAAGCTGTTCAGCTCTCATCAGCTAGCCATACCCTTCTGGGATTCGAACCTGGTCCGCTTGCATATTAGGCAGATTTATTAACCTCTAGGCCACAGGCTCTCCTTGCTTTGTCGGCTACACCAGGGGGAAGGTTGCCCCGATAGACCGGTCTCACCAGAAAAACACTTAGAAAGGACAAAGAGAGGTGCCATCCAGCAATTCCCCCAAAGCTTCCACCACAAACGGCCCCTCCTGCCCGGCGCAACCTTGCCCGCCACTCACCCATTCAGCCCATCGTGGCATCTCCCGTGGACACAAGGGTTGCTGCTGCACTCATTCACTTCCGAGAGGCACATGGGGTCGTGGAAGCCTTCCGGGCAAAGACAAGTGAACCCGTTGATGCCATCCTTGCAGGTGCCCCCGTTATGGCAAGGGTGGCTTTCACACTCGTCGACGTTGATGCTGCACATCCTCCCTGCAGAGAGGAGGGGAAGCAGTGAGGATCCTGACTCAGGGGCAGTGGTGGGATTAGCCGAACTGGGCAGAATTTTAACAACCTGTTCACCTGAACCGGTACAAACTGGCTGAATCCCACCTCTGCTCAGGGGCCACGAAGCCCACAAAGGAAGGGGGACCCCCATGCTTACGTCTCTCCCTCCCATCCTCTCTCACCTGTGTATCCTGGCTCACAGGCACATTCGTAGCCATTGATCTTGTCCACACATTTGCCATAATCACAGGGGTTGCTGGCACATTCGTCCAGGTTGATCTCACAGTTGGGCCCTTCGGAAAAGAACAGGAAAAGGGTGTGGCGGTAGGAACCCAGTGAAGCTGAAGGCATTTGTGAGGCTCCCTGGGGGCTCCGATCTCAGTGTAACCCCCAAACCATAACACCCCCTTCCTCCCCAAAGACTGGTATTCAGTTTCCCAGGGAGTGGGGCTCTGAAAAATCCCAGGGTTGTTTTAAGAAAGTTCCCCCACATCAGAACTTTGGAATCAGGTCATCAGTACTTTTGGGGGGCGGGGAGGAATCTGTCATAACTTCAAACATATACAGATTAATGGAAGGGACATTGTAAGTCATCTAGTCCAACCCCCCCGCCCCCCGCCGCCCAAGCAGGAGACCCTACACCATTTCTGACAGAGCCAGTCTCTTCTTGAAAGTCTCAAGTGATGAAGCTCCCACAAATTCTGAAGGCAACTTCTGTTCCATGGGTTGATTGTTCTCACTGTCAGGAAATTTCTCCTTATTTCTAGGTTGAATCTCTCCTTGTCAGTTTCCATCCATTGTTCCTTGTCTGGCCTTCAGGTGCCTTGGAAAACAGCTTGACCCTCTTCCTCCTCTCTGTGGCAGCCCCTCCAATATTGGAAGACTCCTATCCTGTCTCCCCTGGTCCTCCTCTTCCCTAGACCAGCCATGCCCAGTTCCTGCAACCGTTCTTCGTAAGTTTGAGCCTCCAGTCCCCTAATTACCTTTGTTGCTCTTCTCTGCACTCTTTCTAGAGTCTCAACCTCTTTTTTTATCGTGGTGACCAAAACTGAATTCTAGGTGTCTCAAAAAATAATAATCAAGAACTACCAGAGGTGGGACAGCCCCAAAGATCTCCGAGGCTTCTGTCCTTCACCTGAAATACACGGGGCAGCCCAGATCATTTGCCAAGGTGCCTCTGCTGCATCCTTTGGTGGGAAGGCCAGAGGGAAGACCCCGCCCTTTCCTTACCTGTAGTGCCTCGCAGGCAGGAGCAGGTGTAGGCGTTGTCCCTGTCCTGGCAGGTGCCTCCGTTCTTGCAAGGTTGGCTCTGGCACTCGTTGATGTTGGTGTCACAAAGGCGCCCAGTGTACCCAGGCTGGCAGAGGCAGGTGTAGGTGGCAATGCCATCCCGGCACGTGCCGTAGTGGCAAGGGTCAGGGTCACATTCATTGATGTCCGTCTCGCAGTGAGTGCCCGAAAATCCTGGGGGGCAGAGAAATGGAAAGGGTGCAAAACGTCAAAAGAATTGCGACATGGTTCCGCAAAGCAGCATTTCTCTTCCAGGTGGCGGCCAACGACAGAAACCAGGGCATCCTTCGTCCCCTAGATCGGGTGCTGGGAAGAGCAGCTGATGAATTCTAGCGCTCAGCTGGCCTGCAGGTGCTTCCAAGGATGATCCCTGGCCACTTGACCGTAGTTATTTATGGCTGGAAAACCAGCAGATAGGAATGGAGGTTGCCTACCTACCAAACGCTGCTCTTTCTTACCCTAAGGATGGACTCCATCTCCCAAGGTTCCCAGCCAGAAAGATGGGAGTCCGTGAGAAAGAAAAGGAGTGGGCTGAGTGTTGTGGCCTACTAGCGGCAGAGGAGCTGGCAACAGAGTCGGATAGTGAGGAGGTTGGGGAGGAACATGGGCCAGTCCTGGAGGCTGGAGAAGGCTCGGACGAGGGCTCTGCATCAGAGGCAGAGATGGGGACGAGGCCATCTGATAGTGATCAGCTGCCTTTGGAGCTAGGCAAGAGTGAGGCAGAGGAACAGCTGGAGCCTGTTCTCAGTGGGCGCATGCACAGAGCTGCCAGAAGACAAGAACAGATGAGAAATCAAGGTCGACTTGGAAGTAAAGTCACAGGTGGACGGTGAATGGCCCCTCCCATAGGGAATAAAAGAAGAGCAAAAGGGGAGGAGGCTTTTGCAGGAAACAATTTTGCGGCCTTCGATACCATCGACCATGGTATCCTTCTGCGACGACTGCAGGAGGTGGGGGTGGGAGGCACTGTCCTACGGTGGTTCTCCTCTTACCTCTCGGACAGGTCGCAGTCGGTGTTGGTCGGAGGGCAGAGATCGACCCCTAGGCCCCTGAATTATGGGGTGCCGCAGGGTTCGATCCTGTCCCCCCTCCTGTTTAATATCTACATGAAACCGCTGGGTGAGATCATTCGACGGCATGGGATAAAATACCATCAGTATGCGGACGATACGCAATTGTATCTGTCTGCCCCGTGCCAACTCAGCGAAGCGGTTGACGTGATGTGCCAGGGCCTCGAGGCTGTTAGGGACTGGATGGGGGTTAACAAGCTTGTACT